GAGGAGGAGGAGGAGGAGGAGGACGACGACGACGACGACGACGACGACGACGACGAGGGGGAGGAGGAGAGGGAGGAGGAGGAGGAGGAGGAGGAGGAGGAGGAGGAGGAGGAGGAGGAGGAGGAGGCTTAGGTGCGCGGCTGTCGGGGGCCGCGGGGAGGCCGAGCCCGAGCGCGCAAGAGACGCTGCTGCCGCGTCGTTTCGAGTCCTCTGGGCGCCCCGGCGTGCCCGCACCGGAGGTCACTCCAGCGAAAGGTCCCTCCCACGTGCAGCCGATGGGGGGGGGAGGGGGCCGTTCGAAAGGGCAACGGGGGGGCCTCCCGGAAGGCCGCCCACCCCCTCTCCCCAGACCCCCTCGAGCCAGCTCGAGTCGCGCAAAAAAAAAAAAAACAAAAAAAAAAAAAAAACACGACGGACGGCTTTGCGCTGTTTTCAGCCTCGGGGGGGGTCTTTACCAGACCTCGGGACCGTCAAACAACGGCTCAGGATGAAGAACTGGTCCCAGGGAATGGGTGGAGACCTTTACGGGGTCGACGTTATGAAAAAGTCACCACGTCGGGGGTCTGGGCCTGGGGCAACGTTACCAGCTCACGGGGGGAAGCATCGACCTGGAATCCGCGACGCGTCGCCGATGTGCACCTGGGCAACAGGCCCCCCATCGGCACGCTTAAGGGCGGGGTGGGCCATCGGGCCCCTGTCGGCGATCAATGTGCGGCTACGGGTCGACGCATCTCCCCCATGAGCCTATCCAAGACAAGCGCGCTCCACTGCTCGCAAAGGAACTACTCGCGAATGGCCCGGATCCGCCATGGGGGATCTGCGATACACTGCATCGAGGCAGACAGGTCTTCTTCGGACGTTTGCGAGCAGGCACTTTGCGAGCAGCGCACCGCGCTCGGTGACGCCTCCCCCGCCCCCGACTCTCCCGCGCGCCGCCAGACTGAGCACGGCCAACCGGCGCGGTCCGTGGCGAAGCTGAGGGTGCCGGCCGCGGCCGCGGGGCGCACGCCGGGCCCGCCGCTCCCGAGGGCCGCCTGGCGGATGGCCTGCTCGGCCCGCGAGACGACGTCCCTCTGCCACCGGGACGTCGACTCGCTGGGCTGAGCCAGGCCGCCCTGCAGGCCCTTCACGAGCGCGAGCAGCTCCTGCGAGGTCCCCAGGAGGCTCTCCACCTGAGCGACGGCAAGAGGCGGGCCCCACGCGAGACACTGCGCAGCGGCCTTCCGCGGAGGCCCACGTGGGCCGCCAGCGCAGCACGCCAGCTGGAGACAAGGGCGCTGACGCGCGACCTCACGCGGGCAGCTGACGCACGAATGTCGGCGCAGTGGCCCCCGTTCTGCTGCGCCGCTCACCTGGGCCTCCCTCTCGTCGAGGGCCCGCTCCACCTCCTGCAGCCGGCCGCGCGCGTCCTCCGCCGCACCCGGCGGCTGGCCGAGCCCCAGGGGGCGGCCGCCCTGCAGAGCGCGCGCTCCCCCGCCGCCCGTGGCAGCCGCGGAGCCTCCGAAGCAGATATGCCCGGCCAGCCCTTCGGACGCGCCAGCGTGGGCCCGCGGGCGAGGCGGGTCCGCCGCACCTTGAAGCTCCGCGGGCCCCGCGTGTCCAGCGCTACTGCTGGGGACGTGCCAGCGGCTAATGGGGGGATCTGCCGCGCCCTTGGATGGCAAATAGCCGCTGGCCCGCTGCTGCCTGAAGGTCTCCAGGTCGGGCATGGTGCGGGCATTCTGCATGAGCGTCTCCAGGTCAGGCACCTCTGTGGCGCGCAGAACTGAGAGCGTGCTGCTCAGATCGGGACCGCCGCCGCCAGCACCGCCACTGCCACTCGGGGCGTAGACGGACGCGTCGGGCGCGACGCCCGAGAGCTTCTGCAGCGCACTGAACACCGCGTCGCTCTTAACCGTGCCCCACTGCTGGCGCAGCGCCTGGCACCTTGCCAAGATGTCCTCGGACCCCCCGCTGGGCGCGCAAGGCGGGCCCGGCTCCCAAGATCCGCGCCCGGGGCCCAGGCTGGCGCTGCCGATCCCTCCCGAACTGGCCCCCTGACTCCGCCCGATGCTGTTCGATGATCCTCAGAATGCGTGTTGGCGCCAACGTGTGCTCGCCCTCCGAAACCCTTCCGTACGACGCGTGCGCTGCGTTGGGGGGCGACACGGGCTGGGGTGGAGCCGAAGTGGGCAGACACACGCTTGAGCCAACACGCGTGCCGAGGATCATCGAGCTGTCCACAGCCTGGCTGTGGACGTCGGCCGCGCGCCACGACGCCGGCATGCCCGCCAGGTGCCCGTCCGTGGGCCGGCTACTGGCAGCCGCCGCGCGCCAGGACGAGTCCATGGTGACCCCGAGCCCCCGCGCTGCACTGGGCCCCCTCGCCTGAGCCCAGCTGGCATGCTACGGAGGAGGAGGAGGAGGCACGGCGTCGCAACGGAGGAGGAGGAATGTTTGCCTCGAGGCGCCCTGGCTCAGACACGACTGGCACAGAGTCCAATGTCAGTTCCACGAGGGCTCGCGAGAAGATTCTCTCGCAAAGGTTCCCAAGAGGGCTGACTCCTTAAACATACCAGTGGCCCAGCTCGGCCAAGCACCATGGTGAGACTCCGCGGAAGCATATGTGAACACCAAGTCTGACAGCACAGTCTGAAGCCCCACAGGTCACCCTGGCAAAGGGTCAGCACCAAGGCTCATTTACCACACAACGAAGCTACCGCACGAGCTCCCCCACAACAGGTTCATGTGGGTCAGCTGCGTGCACCACACCAGCGGCTCCTCCCCCTGCTCGAAGATCGGCGTGCAAGCGACGTTGAACTTCAGGGCCTCTGGCGAGTGCTCTACTGGCACCTTCCATACGCACACTTGCCTGCCGCCCTCCTTATCGTAGATCGCCCAGCCTTCGGCTATTGGGAGCAGCTGGTTCCCCATCGAGCTCCTCAGCAGCGGGGCAAGGATCTCGTCGCCGCCATCCCTCTTGTAGATGGGCATGCCCAAATCAAAGTCCTTGCTCGGGCGCGCCAAGCTCGCCAACCGGTAATATCCGTTCACACCGAGGATCTCGTTCTTGTGCTCCACCTGCACCTCCTTCGGGATGTACAGCCCGTCCCACCGGACCGTTGGAATGGGATCCAGCTGCACGACTTGGCCTTGCGTACCCCAGGGCACGGCCCCAAAGCCGTTGGAGATGACCCTGTCCTCGACCTGGATGCTGCGAACGCCCAGCAGCCGCTTGGCCACCCGGCCAGTGTCCAGCGTGCACATCCTGATCAGGCCATGGACGGCGCCGTTCTCCTCGATGGCCTTTCACCCGCGCGCAGAGGGGGCAAGGGGGAGGGGGGAGGGGTTCTTGGAAGCACCCCTCTTCTCAGAAGGCGCGGGCCTTGTCCATAGATGTAGGGCTGGCGCCCTCTGAGAAGCAGCCTCCGTCTGAGAAGCCTTCCCCCCTCCCTCTACACCCTTGTGCGCGCCGCCGGGGGGGCCCAGCGAAGATCCAAGAAATCCGCGCGGACCTTCGAAAGTTGATGTTTATATAGTTTTTTTCTATTTCGAGCCAAGAGACGTCGGCGATGCATCGACAACGTGGGCGTAGAGAAAATCAGGCTCCGCATCGAGCCGCATCGCCGATGCATCGGCGAGGCGGCGCGATCCTCCGACCCCATCTACTCCGACCCCATCTGGGAGGCCTACATTCTGAGAAGCCTTCCCCCCTCCGTCTACCCCCTTGTGCGCGCCGTCAAGCCTTCTTGCAGAAGCCCTTCTTCCACGTCACGACGCGAGATCCGTGGGCGCCAGGCCCCCACCTGATTAGGCACCCCTAACCCTTTGGGAGAGGCCCTCAGTTAGGAGGGCCAGGAACATTAGGGATAGGAAGTCTCTTCTGCATACTATCGAGCCAAACCGCCCAGATGTATCGTCTCTAATGCGAAGACGGGGACCTCAGTGAGGCTACGTCTTCATCGTGTTACTAGGTTAGGGGCTCTTTTTATCCGCAATGACCACCAGCTGGCGACCTCGCAGTCCGCGGCGTCCTGCAGGGCCTCCGCCAGACACCGGTGCGCCCTGGCCTCGGGGTCCTGCGCCGCGGCCACGTGGCTGGCCAGCGAGGCCAGCAGGACCAGGCTCCTCAAGGGCGCCCAGGGACACACAAATTAACATATATATATATATATATATATATATATATACCAGGATTCCCCCTAGTTTCCAATGCTTTCTGGGTTTTCGTCTTTCCCCCTCCCCCGCTTCCCATACTTTCCTACCTTGTCCTGGGAGTCCACGATTCATTGTGTCTGTGTGTGTGTTTTTCCCTTCCTGAGCTCCAGAGGTCGAACTCGTCCTGCCTCAGGAAGTCCAAGTGCCCCAGCTTGACGACCACCGCCAGGACGCCGACGGCCGCGACGAGGCCGTAGGAGATCACGAGCAGACCTGTAAATACGACCGAGTAGATGTGGCCCTGGCGCTGATTTTGAGCGCCCGGCGGCACGATCTGGAAGCCCAGCGTGCACCGAAGAGCGCCCAGCCTGTAATTGGAATGTCTGGCCAGGTCGCCCTCGGCCCAGACCTTCACCGGGTCAATGTAAGCCAGCAACCTGAATGCGGACAAGGACGCCGCCGATTTCATGGCAGCGGCCGTGGCGTAGGCGGTGCTAGCCTTGGCTGTGGTCGGCATGTGGGCAGCACCGAAATACACCCCGACGCCCACGAGGACGGCGAACCAGGAGCCGAGGTAACCGAGCGCCTCGGCGTACACGATGATGCGCCGACAATGCTCGTAGAAGGTGCCAGGCCGCGACGGCTCGGGCAGCTGATCCCACGCGTAGAAGAACAGGAACCCATGGAGGATCATCCGCGCCACCAGCACACAGAATCCACCGACGTCCGAACCCTCCACGGGCTCCGCGGAGGGGCCGGGGGCCATCTGAACGTGCACGTGGGGCCAAGCCGCCTCGTAGTTTGTCCTGTCAAAATTATACAGGAGCTGCTGCTCCCTAAAGTCCCGACGCGCCATCACGTCCACGCCGTGGGAAAGGAAGAACAAGCCAGCCGCGACGCAGACGGAGGCGCCGACCAGGCAGTACGACGTCCAGTCCACAAAGTCGCAGCACGGCATGTCCGAGGCGCCCTCGACGTCCTGCAGCGCCGACGCGGCCAGGCCCAGCAGAAGCCCGCAGAACAAGAAGCAGCAGGGCGCGAGAAGGGACCGCAACAGGTATGAGTTCCGGAAGGCCAGCACCACGCCGACCACAGCCAGGATAAGGGCGAAGAATACCATCACGCCCCCCATCGCGTCGTAGAAGAACAGCTCGAAATTCGATCTGATGATCTCCGCGGACAGCACCAGGCCGAACAGCAGCCCGGCGCACAGGAAGCACAGGCTGACGGCGAGCACCTGCAGGCGCGCGTAGTGATGCACCTTCTGCAGGAAGAACGCGGGCCTCAGGTTGCTGGGCTCTCCGGCCTTCAGCTTCATGCTCTCGCAGTCCACCTCCTGGCCCAGCGGCTGCGGCACCGCCTTCTTGCCGAGCTCCTGGAACTTGATGCCCGTGGGCGTGCCTGGCGCCCCCGTGTAGCGCAGCGGCACGTCAGACACGCCGCTTCGCTCGGCCTGTGGGCTGGGGGCCGCCGCCGCCGCGTTCGCGCCCGCCGCCCCCCTCGGGCGCGGCAGCCGGACGTCGGCGGGCACCTCCTGGGCAGAGGCCTCGGGACGCACGGCCCTGTGGCGCTTGCCCTTCAGGCTCGCCTTCGGCTTCCGCGGGGCGGCCGCCGTCGCGGGCCCCGCGGACAGCGGCGGGGAGCCCGACGCGGGGGGCGGCGACGGGGCCGGGTCCGCGGCCCCCGTGGGCGGGCCCACCGCCAGGTAGGCGCTCGGGCCCCCGTCAGGCGGCGCGGGCGGCTGGCCGCCGCGGGCGAGGCCCTCGCCCAGCGCGCCGCGCTCGCAAGAGCCCAGCGTGGAGAGCGTGCCGACGTCGACCTCGTCGCCGGGCCGCCTGGGCTGCACCGGCATCCCACGGACGCCAGCCCCGGCGCTGTTCGCAGGGGCGGCCGGGCCCGGAACCCTCAGGGGCGCCGCAGAAGGCTTGAGCCAGAAGGGCTACATGAGGAGGAGGAGGAGGAGGAGGAGGAGGAGGAGGAGGAGGAGGAGGAGGAGGAGACCAACCCGTCGCCACAACCCTCTCTCAGGCGCCACATCTCGAGAAGCCTCTAGGCGGCAAACCTGGTCGGCTGGCTCAAGGACTGCAGCAATGGACAGGTCCGCGGCCTCTGTCGAATGACAAGGATCTCTGGCAGAACTCAATTTCCCAGCCAAACCTCCAGCGGTGCCTAGTCCAGTTGGCCAAGAATTGCTATCGGTTTAGGTGCATTGCAAGCCGCACTACATCCGCCCCTGATGATGTTCTGGGCTGCCTTGACAGGACTGGAAAGTACAGGCACATCAGCCAGGATAGATGCAACACCAGTGCAGACAGAACAGACAGCACTGGCAACAGAGACAGGACAGGTAGGAGAGATAAGATAGACAAGAGGTGTTTGAAAGACGCGGCATAATTCAACCACGCCGCGGGCGAGATCCAATACCTGAACCAGGATCACGACCAGGACCAAGATAGACAGACGGTCACCGAGAGATACAAGAAAAACATATAAAAGCGCGGATGGACAAGAGGAACGGGACACATGAGACGGGCAGAGCAAACAGGACAGAATATCCGAGAAAAACGCTGACAAAACGTACAGAGTGAACAGGCCAGAAAGCCACACGGAGCCAGACGAGGCAGGGCGAGGACAGGACGGACTAGATTGACCGCGTGCTAAGATCGGAGGGAGCGATCCAGGACACATGCAAAGGTGGGGGCCAGTGGGGGCACTGCCCCCCCCACCCGCCCTTGTGCATGCGCCTGGCACCACTATGTCTAAAATCTGCTCGTCCAGCGCCGATGTTGGGCAAATGCGCTCGGCAGTGCGATTCACAGACAGGCTGTAATGTTTGACCCAAGCGGGCATCAGAAGGACGGAACACCCCCGAGCAGGGCAGGGCGCGACAGATGAAAAGGGACGGACCAGGGCAAGGCCAGACAGACAGGGCAAACTGAGGAAATGAGGGCAGGGGCACGACACGGGGCAAAGGCCAGGGCCAGATGGCGGACAGAGAGGGCTGCGCCCTCGCGACATCCCACACGACCCTGCTCCTCCTCCCTTTGCGCCCGTGCCAATTCACTAGCTGAATTGATCGCTGTGGACTTCCTTCTCCTCCTCGTCCTCCTCCTCCTCCTCCTCATCATCACCATCATCATCACCATCACCATCATCATCATCATCATCAGCATCATCAGCATGAGCATCATCATCCTTATCATCATCATCATCATCATCATCATCATCATCATCATCATCATCATCATCATCATCATCATCATCATCAACAGCAGCATCATCAGCATCATCATCATCATCATCAGCAGCAGCAGCAGCATCATCGTCATCATCATCATCATCATCAGCATCATCATCATCATCATCATCATCATCATCATCATCATCATCATCGTCCTCCCCATCCTCCTCCTCCTCCTCCTCCCCCTCCTCCTCTTCCTCCTCTTCCTCCTTCCCCTTCTCCTACTCCTCATCCTCCTTCTCCTTCTCCTCCTCCTCCTCCACCTCACCATCATCATCATCATCAGCAGCATCAGCATTAGCATCATCATCATCATCATCAGCAGCATCAGCATCAGCATCAGCATCAGCATCAGCATCAGCATCAGCATCAGCATCATCATCATCATCATCATCATCATCATCATCATCATCATCATCATCATCATCATCATCATCATCATCATCATCATCATCATCGTCATCATCCTAATTCGTCCCTGTTCCTCAACTCCAACCGTGGCACCACCAAACGTGTCGGACGGCGGGCCGGGCGTTTCGCCTGAGACGTCCCCACCACTAGTGATCCTGAAACTTGCAAGTTGCAGCAGCTTCCAGGATGGAGGGCGGCTGGTTTTCAAAATGTGGCTGTCGCCTTAGCGCTATGCCCATTCGTGTCAAAAGATTGCAGCAACTTCGAGTATGGAGGGCGGGCCGTTTTCAAAACGTGGCTCTCGAATTGGCACTGTGCACACTCTTTGAACAGTTGGCACGCGTTTCAAAGATGGAGGGCGGTGTTGCAATCCCAGGAATGGTGTCCTGACACGGTTTAGAATTTGCCAGGACGCAACAGTCAGGTTCATTCGCGGCGTTCAAGTCTCAGGTATGGTGTTTTGGCAAAATTGGAGATCTCCGACGACGGCTGTCCTTGAATGGGACAGTTCCCGCGATGAAGATTCATTCCTGTAGGAACCTATGAAGAGGGAAGTTGGAAAGAGGGTTGATTGCAACACCGTTGATGCGTGCTGGGCTTACACTGGTCCTCCTCCTCATCATCATCACCATCATCATCAACATCATCAGCATCATCATAATCCTCATCCTCATCCTCATCCTCATCCTCATCATCATCA